TTGCATTTGGAAAACATAGTTGGAATTAAACTTGTTCTGTCCTCAGTGTCTGAATTGAGTTTCTTAAAAGGGCTATCTTTGGTTTTGTTCCAATTGCATTTCGCGAATGGTTTTATTAATTTTAGTTCTGTCCCATTCAGCACCAATGAATGGAATTGAATACAGAGTTCAATATCAACTTTGGATTAATAGCTTTACTGGCATTTCCTAGTTCATAACCTGATAGAAATAATGGACAGCTCCAATTTATAAATTCACATTTTATGTAAGAAAACAAATTATTACATCAGTAACCATTTTTCTTCAGATCTGTTACAGAACCATACAGCATGGAAACAGACCCTTTAGTCCAACCAGCCCATGCTGACCATGTTCCCAAACTAAACTAGTCCCACCTGCCTGTGTTTAGCCCGTATCCCTCCAAACCCTTCATATTCGTGTATCTGTCCAAATGGTTTTTAAATGTCATAACTGTATCCATATCCACCACTTCCACTACACACTAATCAATGAAAAAGTTGCCCCCCATGTCCTTTTTAAGTCTTTCTCCTCTCAGTTTAAAAATAAGTTCCCTAGTTTTCCACCTTAAGCAAACACCTTTGCTATTCACCTTATCTACGCTCCTCATGATTTTATAAACCTCTATAAGGTCACCCCTCAACCTCCAGTGGAAAAAGTCCCAGCCTATCCACCCTCTCCCTATAACTCAAATTCCCCATTCCCAGCAACATCCTGGTAAATCTTTTCTGAACCCACCCCACTTTAATAATTTCCTTCAAATAACAGGGCGACCAGAACTGGATGCCGTACTCCAGAAGATGCTCCACAACGTCCTATACCTCAACATGATATCCCAACTCCTCTACTCAAAAGTCTGAGCAATGAAGGCAAGTGTGCTAAACGCCTTAAACACCCTGCCTACCTGTGATACAAATTTCAAAACTCCCAGGTCTCTCTGCAACTACTACCCGGGGCCCTACCATTAATTGTAAATGTCCTGCCCTTTGTTTGTTTTACCAAAATTTTATCCAAATTAAACTCCATCTGCCATTCCTCAGCCCACTGACCTAATTGATTAAGGTCTTTGTAATCTCAGATAACCTTCTTCAATGTCCCCAGTCCGCAAACTTAGTAACCATGCCTCCTATATTCTCATCCAAATTATTTATACGAATGACAAAGGGAAGTAGACCCAATATATGTGTGTAGATATATCGTACACACCCATTATCTGTTTTGCATAACCATTTATTTGTTTGGACAGGTTGTGAAAGTTTGCTTTAATGATTAAGTGATAAATGAAATTTACAGCTAAGATATTCAATAATTTTATATTAATCTAGTTTAAAAAATACTGTTGAAATGTCTTGTTTGTAGTTTTGGAATGAAATTAAATGCAAAAAGGCTTTTTGGTTTAAAGTGGCTGTCCACTTTAGAATCAGGAAGTACTATTTTTCAGCTGTTTCCCATTTTTATAGGTCAATACTTGAGTTGGTTGGCAACAGGTCAGCTTGTTATGGGACAATGGGAGTCATGTTATGAATATACAACTCTACTACAACACTGCGATTGTTTGCAAGCCAATACATTGCATTTTACTCATTCCTAAAAGGTTCATTCACCAGGCAACAATACTCAATAGCAACAGCCTACATCATGGGCAGGAACACCTTCCAAAGCCCCAGCATGACTCTGCTTCAGACTTGTCTTTCAGCAGGGATAAAGTCTCATTTAGAACAATGTACCAGAGTGAGCTGAATTTTACCATTTCTGACATTAGCCTTCCTCTTTGTTTTCTGAAATGGCTCACAAATAAAGTCATTTGTGCTAAAATTGTGGATTTCCTTAGGCCTGGAATGAACAGAAGCTAGGCCGAGACTCCCCAGCTAACTTCACACAGGGCTCTTATAATTACAGAGAGTTCCACAGAGCCATTAGAAATAGTCCAACTAGTCTATCTCCTGCCACTCCCCTGTTCTACGTCCTTGTCTCTTTCTCAGTTATGTGTTTTAGTTTCCCCAATTTTCAATGCTTTCTGCCTCAACTTCTTGTGATAACCAGTTCCACATTCTAACCACTCTATGAGTAATGAGGTTTCTCCTGAATACCTTTGGATTTATTGCTGACTTTTTAAAAATTACACCACCTTGGAGGGAATTTGTTGATACTGGGGAAACAGCACTGGTTTTGCTCTCTCTACACATGTGGGAACATAATCCCCATATCTACTTTCCATGATCTCCATTAGGTCACCCCCTCAGCTTCACATGATCTGAAGTAGGCTGTTTAGCCTTTCCTGTTTAATATATCCTCTCAATTCTAGTATCCTGTTTGTCAATTTTTTTACGCTTTCTCAACTGCCAATTCATCTTTTTCTAATGATGGCGAGACCATAACAATACACGATAAAAACCGAAAAAAAACTGCAGATGCTGTAAATCAGAAACAAAAAACAAAGTTGCTGGAAAGCTCAGCAGGTCTGGCAGCATCTGTGTAGAGAGAAACAGAGTTAATGTTTTGGTTTGAGTGATTCTTTCTCAGAACAGTTCTGAGGAAGGGTCACTCGACCCAAAATGTTACCTCTGGTTTCTCTCCACAGATGCTGCCAGACCTGTTGAACTTTTCTAGCAATTTTTGTTTTTGTTTTTGTTTCTGAGAATAATACACAGTTATCCAAGTGTGGTTTAAGCAAGGCTCTACACAAGTTTAGCAATAACTTTTCTGCTCTTCAATTCGATCACTGTAGAATTGAACTCCATGGTTTGTTCTGCCTTTTCTAAAAACACCTTCACTAGCTTGTTACCTTTAGTGGTGTACCTAGCTGTATCTCTAGATTCCTTTGCTCCTGTGCCCTATTTATTTTCATTATGCGAGGAGTGTGCAACCTCCTTATTCTTTTCCTCAAAGCGTTACTCATGTCTTCCTAGCTTTTATTCCTCAGCACTAACTACACTCCCCCAATGTGGTACCATCTAAACATTTTAAAATAGGGATCATTGATGCTAATGGTGATCAACAGTGATCTGAACTGAACACTGTGGAACATCACTTCCCACCTTTTTCCCAGTCAAGAGTTCCTCTTAACCTTGACTATTTCTTTTCTGTTTTGAGGCCAGCTTGCTAGTCAGTCAGTGGGGAAACGCGGTGGCGTTGCAGTCATGCCACTTGATTATATAATCTCAAGAATCAGTCTAATGTTCTGAGCACTCTGGTACAAACCCCACCACAGCAGCTGGTGGAATTTAAATTCGATGAATGAAAAATCAGAATTGGAAGTTAATTCAAATAATGAGGACCACAAAATATACCATCAAGGATGAGGTGCCATTTAGCCTCTCGAGCATTACCTAACATTTAATAAGATCTGCAAACATCAAATCCACTTTGTGCCTACCTACAGCAATCTTTTACCTACTTGCTCAACAAGAATCCATCAATCTCTGCCTTAAAAATATTCACAGACTCTGCTTCCAGTGCCATTTCAGGAAGAAAGTTTCAAAGACTCAAGACTCTGTGATAAAAGGAAAATTCACTTCATCTCTTAATATTAACCTTAATATTAGACAGTGACTTCTAGCTCTAAGTTGTTCATTTCTTGCATAGGAAGGGGATAGGGGGATACGGATTGAAAAATGGCAGGCTTGTTTTTAGATTAATTAGGGCACGATGGTTGGCACAGGCTTGAAGGGCCAAAGGGCCTGTTCCTGCACTGTACTTTTTCATTGTTCAATTGTTCTCCCATAAGAGGAAATATTTATACATTTATATCCAAATTTATCCTGAAACTGTAATTGATAGTTGTAAAAACCTATCCCGCTCACAAATGTCCTTTTGGGAAAGAAATCTGCCATCTTTACCAAGTCTAGGTACATGTGACTCCAGACTCTTAGCAATATGGTTAACTCTTAACTCTATGAACAGACCTCTCAGTTCAAGGGCATTTCAGATTGGCAAAAAAAGCTGCCTTGTCAGTGATGCCCACATTCTATGAAGGAATAATTTTACTATGTCATTTGTCATCTCAATCCACGCGCTCTGACCTTGGTCATAAATCTATGAGATACTTAATCGGAAATCTATTAGAAATCCAATGACATTATGGCTGCCTCAGTAACCTTGTCTACACTTTGTTACATCTAGACATTTAAGAACAAGAAAGATTTGAGTGGGAATCAGTTGAGGATGGATCTGAAACAGGGTGCTGAGGTCGAGGGCAACGTCAGACCTGACTAGTCATCAACTTGCCAGCAATCCTGGATAAAACATGCATTTGATTTTAGTTGACAATCATTATCAGTAGACTCACAATTTTAACTTTGGTGCTATCAATTTTCTTTATTATTGTGCCAGGGATGTTGACGTTGCTGGCTAGGCTAGCATCTATTACTAGCATTTATTCCTCGTTGCTGTGGAGAAGGTCAATACATTAAGGTAGAAAATTTCCCTCTGATTTTGACAGCAAAGCTGTTGTACATGTGATGAAGTTTTAATACACAACACGTGATTGGAAATCTAGTCTGCTCCTGGGGAAGCAATGGTATTATCGCTAGACTATTAATCCAGAAAATCAGTTAATGTTCTGGGGACCCGGGTTTGAATCCCTTCACGGGAGGTAATGGAATTTGAATTCAATTAAGATAAAAATCTGGAATTAAGAATCCACTGATGACCATGAAACCATTGTCGGAAACACCCATCTGACACACTAATGTCCTTCACGGAAGGATGTTTGTCATCCTCACCTGATCTGGCCTACAGACTCACAGCAATGTGGTGACTCTCAAATGCCCTCTGAGATGGCCTAGCAATCCATTCAGTTCAAAGGCAGCTAAGAGCTGGTAATAAATGCTGGCTCCCCAGTGACACCCATGTCCCACAAGTGCATAAAAAAGATGTCCATCTGAGCTAGTTTAAACCTCTTTTCATTTACTGTGAGGTCATTGCCCATTAACGTTCTGGAGAATGATATACAAGGCAGCTACTTCTTCCCATGTACTTACCCTGATACTCATTAGTACAGATGCATTGGTATTCATACTCTCCAGTTACTATACACCTTCCACCGTGCAGGCACAGAGCACGGTCACATGGTGAGCTGTCGTAACACTGATCGACATCCAGGCTGTCTGTAAAGGTGTAGGAGAGATCCACCTTCTTCCCATTAATGGACACCTGGGATAATGGAAAAAGATAGAATTACGCGGAACGTACAGCAGATAAAGAGCTCATTCTGATCTACCAGTTTATTCCCCCCGATCCTCCTCCGGTCTTTCCTCATTTAACTCTACCAACATAACTATCTACTTCCTTTCTCCAAAAAGTGCTTATCGCGTCTCATCATAAAAATATCTATACTATCTGACTCATCCTGTGGTAAATACCTCCATGTTCTGGTGGTGCATTGGTGACATCATTGGACTGGTAAGCCAAAGGCCTCGGTAATGCTCTGGGGATATGGGTTCAAATCCCACCACAAAGTTCAATTAACAAACTTTGGAACTGAAAGCTAGTTTCAGTAATAGTGACCATGAAACTAACATTAATTATCGTTTGAGCCCATTATTCACTAAGGTTCATTAAAGTCCTACAGGGAAGGAAATCTGCTGTCCTAACCTGGCTTACATGCAACTCCAGTCCCACAGTAATGTAGTTGACTCTAAATCCCCCTAATGGCTGATGAGGCCTAGTGATGGTCGATAAATGCTGGTTTTGCCAGTGACACCCACATCCCCTGAATGAATAAGTAAGTTCTCACTATTCTCTGGATATCTTCTGACTTTCATCTTTGATTTAGTCGTGAATATCTGATATGAATGCCTTCTAATAACGCTGCTCTCTACAATTAAACACAATCTCTGTGTCGGGTCTGTTAAAACATGTTAAACTATTAAAGACCTCCATTAGGTCACCTCTTAGCCTCTCCCCGATAGAGAAAAGTACAGTCCATTATTCATCCTGCTCCATTAGTTCTGGCCTTGTTTTTCTGGAATGATCCCTATAACTCATTTTGCACCCTATTCACCTCATTGATATCATTTCTCTAACGATGATAACCAGAATCCTACTTTCCAATGTCCGAGTGTTATTTAACCATGTTTGAGATACGTTTAATGAAAACCTTCCTACTGTTAAGTTGCATCCTCTTGGAAATAAGTGTATAATGAAGCTTTGTGTATATGGGATAACCATTGATAAATTAATGAAACTGAGTGTTGGGTAAATGTTTCAGGATGAATGGTGGAGACAGGCAACTGCTGCCTAATGATTCTCCAAATCGAACATTATTTTTCATTGTGGAATGAAAGTTCTTTTATTTATTTGGTTCATTAAACAAAAATCAAATAATCCTGGGTCTAAAAACTAGACTACATTCGATTTGATTAATAACAGATCAGAATTCTCTATCCTCCCTCCTTTTCATCTCGCAGCGCGAGTGATAACTGACGGTGCCTTTACTTAAAACGTATATTTTCTTCACTTCACCTCGTGCAGTGTCACAGGAAATTTAAAGGCGAAGGATAACGGAGAGAGGCGACAGTCAAAAATTGAGAAGTCACCATAGTCTTACCAGACCATAAGGCTACTCATTAGACAGAGCTGACTGGTCATGATTTAACCGGAGTGTCACCACGCCTCAGGTGAGGGAAGGAGTTGAGGAGAGACTCCTTCATAGTAACCTCAGCCAGTGCAGGAATTGAACCCACACTGTTGGCATCATTCTGCATCACAAACTGGCCAGTTGAATTAGCTGAATTAACCGACCCCCCTACGCACCCCCTCAGGAATAGGCTGCTCGCACTGTGCCCTTGTAGGCAGATAACAGAGAAAAGTATGGGAGCAGTGGTCAAGTCCCTCACATCAATCCACACTGCACCCAGGAAGTAGATAATTCAGAAATGAAAGACAAAGAGGGCTTTCCTCAGTCGTTGGTGAATGGTGCTGTTGGAACTGCCTTTTCACGAAAGACTCACCTTGGTGATGCAGCCTTCAATCCCTTCTGTGACATTTACTGCTTTGGGAAGGACCTCTGAACTGGGAACACCTCCAAGGTACATAGGGCTGCGAAGGTTTAAACCTTGGCTTTTGCCTGGAGAGACTCTTCTGATCTCTTTCTCATCATCTATTTTCAGCAAACCATCCTTGTTGTGTCGATGTGCTTTCAGTCTGTGCCATTTGTTGAGAGCCACTGGTTTTGCACTCTGCAGAACAGCAAGTCCTGTGGGGGAGAAAAAGACCAAATGCAGTGGAAGGAAGATTAAGTCAATGAATTTAATAACACATGCACTTCTAGCAATGTTATGAACCTTCCCTCAGAAATATGCCCTTTAATGAAGAGCTGTAAACACAAGCAGTAGCTCTTTTTTAAAGAAAGACATGGGTCTTCTGAATAATCAGAAAATTGAGCTGTTCTCTCTTAGGCATAATGCTAATATACGGAGGGCATTTTCACAATATCTGAAGGCAACCTGCCCCACAGTTGAATGTTGGAGCAGCGTCGCTGACATGGTTTACAAATACACAGCCAGCTTTCTATTCTGTTAAACACTTGGTGGTGTTTGAAATGAGGACGTTTGCACATGTAATGTAACTCTTTCCCATTCAGACACTTAATGGTAACAATTACAGTTGCAATCTGACATGGTTACCGTCTGCACTCCACAGAGCCATAACCATGTGGCCACACATAACCCCCAGCCCGAAATTCCTACAAACGTGTAGGAATTACTACAAACGTGCAACTTGGCTTCCGCATAGCAACAACCAAAACTTGGGAATGTGGTTAACTCAATCACCCCAAGTGGTGGGCAAACATCTGTTTTTACAATCCAAAGGCTCTGCTGTGCTGCTGGCAGGTGGATATAACTCTCACCAGACCATCTGCAGCGATGCCAACAGCTGGAGGCATAGGCATTTTACGATGACATTTTCCAAACGGAATAAAGTACTTTTAAGTTAAGTGACTCCCCTCCTGGTTTCAGGAGGCCCAAAACACAATCAGGCGTTCTCATTTACCATGCGTCCCAGTAAGTCTCTGGGATGGAGGATTACCTGGAACCCCCATCACACCACAAAATAATGTCGGGTAGGAGAATGGGCATAGTTAGAACATTCACTGCTTCATGCCCTGCAGTCACACCCCAACAAACTGTAGCATAGGACGGAGTGGAAACTTTGTGGAAAGCAGGAAGATTCTGGCTTCATTGTCAACCTTTCTCCTACCATGAAGGACACAACTTGCTGTAATTCTGTCATTGTTCACCTTCCCCCAGAGGGAGGCAATCTGATAAAGGACCTGTCACAGAACCTGTCTTGACTTCCATCACATGGAAATGGAGCAGATCCTACAGAGGGCAGCCAATCCGGTGGACCAGCTTGACGCACTGGTAGGGAAACATACTCTGGTAGCGTATACACACCCCTCTACCCCCAGAATCCCCTGCTCCATTCCACAATCATTCAAAAACGTCTTTGGACTGGATAGCAGCTGCTTGGAGACAGGCAAGAAGCTTCACAAGCACACATCCCATCCCGGGACAATGCCAATGGCGCCTGGAAAGTGAAAGGGCAGCTTATTGGAGGAGCTCGGCTCACACAGGCACAGCTGCGTTCATGGAAGAAGTCCTCCATCCAGATTCAGCTTCACCCACCTGAGCCCAGGTCGTATCGGAACTCCAAATGCCCATTCAACATGGCAACCGAGATGAAGTCATTCATTTTCATCCTTTGACCACTGCTGTAGAACATCAGGCCAGTGGGTGAGTAAGGCTTAAACTCCAGCTCGATGGTCAGCTCATTGTGAATGTTGGTCAGAGGTGGATATGCCACAAAAGAGTGCCCTCCTCTGAAGGAAGGAGATGTAATTAAGACACCTGTAAGGCAACAAAAGGCAGGTAAGGACAGTCAGGTTTACCATTTTTGTATCTTACCTGGTGCTCCATAAACAAGGATCCTAGCGAAGGAGTCCAACAGAAATATCAGTCTGATTCCCAAACAATAAATTCCCAGTGAGACCACTTACAGCTCCAATACCAATGTCTTCCAACATCAAGATGGGCAATAAATATTCACCTGGTCAGTGACACCCTCATCCTGTGAAATACTTAAAAAAAAAACAAAAAAAATACGGGTGGTACTCTTCTGAGTTTGGAGGTAATGAAAATAATTGGGGCAAAGGAAAATGAGACTGGTTTGTACAGGACCTTTGCTGTACCTGATTCTTGAGGAATAGGAGTTGGCAATGATTGATAACAATGGAGTGTTTGATTCTTCTAAGTTCTCCAGCCAACACAATTTTTTAAGTGAAAAACGTAAGGTATTTTGAATCATTTTGCTTTCATTGCAGCCCTGAGGTGTCTATAATTTTGATAAATCAGCAGCATTTAAAAAAAATGTTGTGTAACTGCAGTTTATTTAGGTATGGTTAACTTATTGATCGTGTGATAAATTTCCTGACTTGTCATTCAAACTAGCAGGCAAGGCTCACCATCCATACATTTTGGCCCCTGTTTGCCGAGGTGGCATCGACAGTTATACCCAAGGCCGTCTGGTCTGTTCACACAGGTCGCGTCCGACCCACAGGCCTCTGCAAAATAAAACCATAGACAGGTCTCACCACCACACAACACTGACATCATTAAAAGCCAAAGAACTGTGGATGCTGTAAAGTAGAAACAAAAATAGGAATTGCTGGAAAAGCTCAGCAGACCTGGCAGCATCTGTGAAGAGAAATCAGCGTTAACGTTTCGGGTCTGGTGGCCCTTCCTCAGAACTGATATCATTACACTCCTTGAAACAGAAACTTCTGTCTGTTTTGCTTTTCCCTTGATCTGAACTTGATCACTGCAAAATGCTTCAGTTGAGCCACCTTACTTGCATGTCTTCTGTCAACAGCTGTACAAAGAGCCAATGGACTCACTACCTCCTCGTAAAAATTCGGTGTTTCAAATAAAAGCTTGTTTGGTGGAGAATGGAGAAAGGCCATTATTTATCAATCTACTAATAGGAAATAAACAAAACCAAACAACTGCAGATGCTGGAAATCAGAAACAAAAACAGAAAATGCTGGAGAAATTTAGCAGGTCTGGCAGCATCTGTGAGGGGAAAGCAGAGTCAACGTTTTGGGTCCAGTGACCTTTCTTCCGAGTTGCTCCGGACCTGAAAGATTAACTGTGGTTTCTCTTCTTTTCTGTTTTTGAATCTGTAATAAGGCTCTAGGGCCGAAATGTCCAAGCATTGGCAATCACACTCAGTTTGCAACTCCGTCCCTTTTTTATGTTAAAAATGAGCTTCACATTTCTGACAGGAGACTCTGAACAGGACTCCTTCAGAAATGCGGTATGTACTTTAAATCCGTCAGGTCCCTCATAGTGCAGGAAAGACAGGGGAAGTCAAACCATGCCCTCCCTTTTCCAAAGCAGCCAGTTGCTGCATACTGTGATTTAAATGCCTAGCATTACAGTCACATTGACAGTTCCTGTGAAAGGCTGTGTAGGTAAGACCAGCGAGAGGTTAGGGTGCCAGGTGGATAGAGTTCCAGGGTGCAGAGTGGGAAGGGGACTAGGTAACTGATAGCAGTGTTTAAGGGGGTCAGGAGATATTGATCTGGCAGGGGTTGGATCTCATGGGGTGAGGGTTAGGTTGTGGGACAAGATGTCGATATTTGGGTGGTGAGGAGTCTGGGTCCAGGGGGAAAGTGGGGGGCTTTTTGGGTTCAGGTCTGAAGCGTGTATGGAGTCTGGGGGAGGTGTAGCATGGAGGTGATGCATCAGTTCAATAGTTATCCATGACTTAGACCAGCTTTTTATTTGTCTGACATTTGCTGGATAAGTACTTACTTCACTGCAGTAGAATCCTCCACATTGACTGATTTAGATGGATACTTTTGGAGGGTGTCAGGCAGCAGAATTTTAAATTTCCGGGGCAACTCCTTTGGAGTCTGCTATGTTGTGGATTCTGCAGGGTTCCAATATGTAACTTTCATCTATGTAACAGAAACAACACTCTGGCCAATGAAAAACCCAGGCTCCAGTCTCTGGGATTTCTGTCAGATAGTATGCTTCAGTTCTCAGGAACTATCTTAAATAGCACTTTTGTTTTTTTACAAAACCTCTGCCCAACACAGCTTCATCCCTTCCCCAATAATCTTGGAAAAAGAACATTCATGTTCCCAAGGGGTCTCTGACCTTTGATTCACTTTCACTACAATCCGAATATCAAGGGTTGGATGAATCGAGTTCAACTCAATGCTGCAGCACAACTGGCTGGCCACTAGGTGGTGCTTTGATGATGCAGGGAAGTACTAAAGAACCTGAACATAAGAACACAAGAACTAGGAACAGGAGTGGGCCGTCCGGCCCTTCGAGCCTGCTCCGCTATTCAATAAGATCATGGCTGATCCTTTCGTGGACTCAGATCCACTTACCCGCGTTCTCACCGTATCCCTTAATTCCTTTATTGCTCAAAAAAAATCTACCTTATCTTTAAAAACGTTTACCGAAGTAGCGTCAACTACTTCACTGGGCAAGGAATTCCATAGATTAACAACCCTCTGGGTGAAGAAATTCCTTCTCAATTCAGACCTAAATCTGCTCCCTCTAATCTTGAGGCTATGCCCTCTTGTCCTAGCTTCACCTGCCAGTGGAAACATCCTCTCTACTTTATCTTATCTACTCCCTTCATAATTTTATATGTTTCTATAAGATCCCCCCTCAATCTTCTGAATTCCAATGAATATAATCCCAATCTACTCAGTCACTCCTCATAAGCCAAACCCCTCAACTCTGGAATCAACCTAGTGAACCTCCTTTGCACCCCCTCCAGTGCCAGCACATCCTTTCTCAAGTAAGGAGACCAAAACTGCACACAGTACTCCAGGTGTGGCCTCACCAGCACCTTGTACAGCTGACTAATATGGCATTTTCACATTCTCGTCACATTGAAAATAAATAATTGACTGTGAAGTTCTGTGCAAAGTGCAGTTACTACCACTCTGTAACACACACTGGCTAATGAGTGCACAGCAAGGAGACAAATAACCAGGCAATCTGCTTTGCTTTCGGTGGTTAGGGGATAAATGTTGACCATGATATCAGGAGAAATGCCCTGTGCTCAATATCAAACTTAATTAGGCTCCAGAAGCTTTGATTTAATCTCCCTTGTGAAAAATGGCATGCGAGACAATATAGCTGTTGTTTGGTACCCCATCCAGCACCTTCTATATTAACTCCTATCGCCACTGATGCTCAGTAGCAGCAGTGCATACTAACTACAAGATGAACTGCAGAAATTCACCACAGAAGAAAGGGTGAAACTAATGAGATTGACCACTTGGACCACTCTCACAGTGATGGATGCTGAAGAAATAATTTGCTATAGCTGAGTCGGGAGGGAATTTTTCTTTCTATTCATTTTGTGGGATGTGGGCGTTGCTGGCTGGCCAGCATTTCTTACCCATCCCTAGTTGCCCTTGAGAAGGTGGTGGTGAACTGCCTTCTTGAACCGCTGCATTCCTCCTGCGGTGGGTGTGGAATTGCTCTTCCAAACCCATGACCACTTACAACCAGAAGGACAAAGGCAGCAGATACAGGGGAACACCACCACCTGCAAGTTCCCCTCCAAACCACAAGCCTGACTTGGAAATATACCGCCATTCCCTCATTGGTGACCGGGTCAAAAATCCTGGAACTCGCTCCCTAAAGGCGCAGTGTCCCTGTACCCCAGGGTCAGCTGCAGTTCATGAAGACAATTCCCCACCATTCTCCAGAGTGATTCAGGATGGCTAATAAAGAGCATCTATAGGCAGCAATGCTCACATCCAATGAAAATATTAAAAAAAAATGTTCCCTTAGTATTGCACTAAAGTGTCAGCAAAGATTAAATGGTAGAGTGGGGTTTGAACTTGATGCAAGTGTACAACCATTTTGCCAAGTTGACATTCTGGGACAAAAATATTTTCTTCATCCCTTGCACAACACTCAGTTATTATAAGCAACATTTCTTCCAGCTGTTCAATTTAAATTATTTTGAAAGAGATGAGAAATGAAGCATCAATTTTAGGTTTCCTTTTCTCACAGTCAGAAGAAACTAGCTAAATATTATCCTTTATATACTACGATCAGCAGATCGCGCTGTGATTCTAAACACACACTTACCTGGGTGACAGTGCAGAGCTAATGAATGTTCGCAGTTACTCCCGGTATATCCCTTCCTACAGTGACATGCATAGCTGCCAGTCTCAGAGTCAATACATTGACCTCCATTCTAAAAGACAGAACATCAGACGCTTCACTAAATAAGTGATAAATCTCCAATACTGACATCAACCTGTAAAAATAATGATTGATTAGCTGTCGTGACATTATTCGTTAATGCTCATCAATGAGAAATGTCAGTTGGAACACAAGGGTGAATTAGGTGCTACATTCTGACCACATATTTATAAATAGAATTAGGTTTTATTGTCACGTGTACTCAAGTACAGAAGTACAGCAGTACAGTGAAAGCTGTATAATGTTGCCACACATGGCGCCATCTTAAATACAAGGTACTGAGGTACAAATCTTAAGTAATAAAATAGATTAGGTACAAAAATAGAGATATGAGGAAAAAAAACTAAAAGTTCTACATTACAGTTCTTCATAGTATAACTTTGGAAAATAAATAAGTTAAAAGATAAACATTACAGTCCTTCTATAGCCTGCTGTCATTCCACACTGATTTTATAATTGCATTAACTTTGACTTAGCATCAAAATGATTACAAGTGCACAAAATTGCTCGTGCATTCAACGTTCTTAGTTATACACACTGGTGAATGATTTGAGACCAATCAGTCAGGATGCTTGTCAGGACAGATTTTGAAGAACCACATATCTTGCACCTCTAAATGACAGAGTCAGACTGACAACCTCAGGGTCATGACTGTATATTTTGCAATCCACAAGGCATCACAGTTATGTGGGACATGCAGAATAGGCCAAAGTGTCTTTACCTGTCTATCACTGTTTATTTACTTGCCTTTATAAAATCAGAAACACCCCACCTGGAGTGTAAGGAACTAGTTTACTGGAAGAAGGAAAATTCCCTACAGACATTCTTTCACTCCATTAAGGTTTATCTTCACAGAAAAGACACTGAGCCTTTGAGAAATGGACAATCAATTGCCTTTGTTTTTTTGTTTTGAACTGGCAAACCTTTGAGTTTTTCAGCTTTGAAATGAAGCACCAGCAAAGTGATCATGTGGTGATGTGAAAATGGAATGGGAAAGATGCATCCAAAATGTTCCTTTCAATTTACAGAAGGTGCAAAGGAATAACGGGTCTAACTAGTGAAACTGATCACTTGGAATGGACTCTCAGAATGACAGATACAAGATTCCTACAAATGTTGAAGAAATAATTTGATATAGCCAAGTGGGGGAGGGTGTGTGAAATTGCTCTGAATGGATCTATTAAGGTGGATGGTTTCACAGGTGGGAAAACCATTCAGCCCATCCGATCTATATGTAGCTGGTAAATTTTTGAGGCATTTGTTTGACCGATGTAGACTTTGACCGGAGTAACACTGATGATTTTTTTCAGGGATTATGAAGAATTAAAAATCAAACTGCCTTACTTTCTAACCAATTAGAATCTCTTTCACGTCACCTGTCACGTATCTGTTTCATCTGCGAAAAATCTTTAAATATGGGACCGCCAATGATTTCCTCCAATTTTAACAATAATTAACTCAAAACAAAGACACGGTCCATAATGTGTTACTTTCCTGATTCAGTGACTTATTATGTTAACTGACTAAATTTTAATGCTTATGATCCCATCCATGGAAAAACATCTTTCTTCAGAAGTCTAACCTCTTAGAATTCTAGTCTATAGAATAAAGCTCTTGTCCATGGCTTATCTGCTGTGCAAAAGTCAGCCATATGATGCCAAGGTTACAAAGAAGACCAATCAAGTTCTAACCCTAATCTTTCTCCCAGCTAGGAAGACCATGCTTGTCTTCAAGATTCTGGATTAACTTAATGACCATGGTCACCAATTCATGCCATGTATATCTCGTCATCCCCATGTACACATCAATCATTCCCATGTACATATTGTTGCTCACCTCAATGTACATTGCTCATCTCTACCCTCAAAGTTAATGCAATTTCTGTTACCATGATCTAACAGCAGACTAATGGATTTATTCAACACCAAAATAAAGCAACAAGAATTCAGAATGGGCACAGTAATTGATGCAAATGTGTCACTACTTCAGATGTGTTGTGAGTGTAATTTAAAAGGTATGCAATATTTCATGAGCGTTCCAAGTGTCCCTTTGCTGGTGCAGCACTTCCCTTGGTGAGTGTCTGGTAATAACAGGAGGTTCCCATTATTTTCCAGAAGATTTCCTATCACAATAATGATGATGCAGGTCTGCTCAAAGACACCCAGTTGCTTTGCATGATATTCCATATGTTCCTTGGCCATTGCGATAGAATAGGTGAAGCCAGTTCTGGCTGTAAGTGTTGTATTGGAGGACTGCACTGGCAGGAATTGAAAAGTCTAAACCAAGAAATGCCATTTAGGGTGGGGCGCTTTGAAAGGAGGGTCACAAAAGTGCAGCAACTAACAGCCTGTGCTGTGAAAGAAATTGACAACGGATTAGCAAACAAAACTGCGGATGTCTGGTACCTTGCAAGGATTGTCTTTGCAAGTAGGGCAGTCAGATATTCCTCTAGCTTTCAGATCTGGAGCGGAGAAGATCACCTCATCACCTTGAATTATGAGCTTGCGAATGCAGCCTAATCAGAGAGAAGAGCAAGTCAGCAGGTTAAATATTCATTGTGGTCTTTCTCATTTTGCAAACGTATCCGGTCATTTTAACTAAGAGGTTTGTTATTCTCCAGTGATAATGGAACTCAAAGGCACATAAAACCACTTGCCTCAACCACATGCTGCCACTAAACGTAACAGATTACAGAACCTTTGTGAATGGTGGTGGGGAAAAAAAAAGCCACCTTATATAACACACACAACCCTTTGGTTTGATAAAACAGAACACAGTAGAAATACTCAATGGGTCAGGTGGCATCCATGTAGAAGAAACAGCACTTCATCAGAACTGAGAGTGGGCTGACATTGAACAAGTCAATGGAAATGGGAGGGGGAGGAATGGAGGGGGGTAAGAATGAAAGGAGAAAGTCTGTGATAAGGTGGAGGGCAGGACCATTTCGTTGATAAAATACTCAATGATTAAAGGGACCTTCTGCCCCAGGAAGCTTCATCCAACATATTCATTTCAGGCTTCCAGCATCTGCTGTACTTTATTTTACTGCAATTACTTGCTGGATTCCCAAGGTTTGGAGAGATAAGGGTAATACCGCAATGTGCCAATTATGGAGCTGTTGGAGTGGCACAAGCACCAATAACACAGAAACAATGGGGCAAGCCAGAAGCAGCTCATCTGACCCCCATATACACCCCATTTCCCCAGACGACAAGGAGCAGAAACAAAAAGAAACTGCAACATCAACGCAAAAAGGGGTTTTTTGGGGAGCATTGGGTGACAGTCCACATCCTATTGTGAAAAATAGAGATCAGGGTGGGGGGGACAAATTTTGCTGCATTCGATACATTAAGAGCAAGGACAGCAGACACATGGGAACACCACCACCTGCAAGTACCCCTCCAAGCCACTGACTTGAAAGTATATCGTTATTCCTTCAGCAATGCTGGGTCAAAATTCTGGAACTCCATCCCTAATGGATTGTGGGTGTTGCTACACCCCATAGGCTACAGCGATTCAAGAAGGCAGCTCATCACTACCTTCTCCAGGGCAACTAAGGATGGGTAATAAATGCAGTCCTAGCAAGTTTGAAAAATACTGGAGTGGAAGCAGGGCTAAAATGAAAATAAAACACAAGATGGCTGAAAATTGAGCAGACAAACAGGATCACACAAAATGTCTAACGTGTACCGTTTCTACTTAATACAACCATTTGCACAAATTATATTCGGTGGATTCAATACAATCAAACCAAGATGTTGTCTGTTGTTTGACTTTATCAGCTTGTGAGCTTGGTCTTCGTGCTTATCTTACTAAGCCTATTTTCTCGTACCAGGTTCCTCCTGCACATTTTCACATAATTCAAACTGCAGCTGCTTCCGATATTTCACTACTTTCTCAAACTGCCACACTTGCCTCCCCACAACCCCCAAGAAAAGAGAATATGGAGTGGCACAGTGGCTCAGGGGTTAGCGCTGCTGTCTCACAGCACCAGTGATCCAGGTTCGATTCCATCCTTCGGTGACCGTACAAACCCCACACTGACATTCTCCCTGTGTTTGTGTGGGTTTCCTCCGGGTGCTCCAGTTTCCTCCCATAGTCTGAAGATGTGAAGGCTAGGTGGATTGGCCATGGGAAATATAGGGTTACAAGGATAGGGTAGGAGGGGTGGGTGGGTGGGATGCCCTTCAGAGGGTTGTGTGGACTCAATGGGCTGAATGACCTGCTTTGGCACTTTCGGGATTCTGTGATGATAATGATTTGAGTTTTAATGCCAATTCAGCAGTTTTATGGTCATTCTGATTGAGAGGACCTTTTTAAAATAATTTATTTATTTAATAAATACTTATTAAAGGAGAGACAAAGGCCTTGTGAAATTATTTCATGATTATTAATCTAGAGACCCTGGTAGTGTTCTGGGGATCTAGGTTTGAATCCCACTATAGCAGATGGTGGAATGTAGATTCAATTAGATATCTAGAGTTAAGAGTCTAATGATAACTATGAAACTGACGTCAATTGTTGGAAAAAACAATCTGGTTCACGTAAATCCTTTAAGGAAGGAAACTCCTATCCACACATGGTCTGGCCTACATGTGACTCCAGATCCGCAGCAGCAATGTGGTTAACTCTTAACTGTCCTCTAGGCAATAAATGCTGGCCAACCCTGTGATGTCCACATCCCATGAATGAACAAACAGAAAAAAAAGCTGAATTCAAAATCCACAGCTGCCATGGTAGAATTTGAACTCACATTTCTGGATTATGCCTTAAATTCATTTACATGAAAGCAGTATGAGAGTATCATAGAATCCCTACAGTGTGGAAGCAGGCTATTTGGCCCATTGAATCCACACCAACCTTCCAAAGAGCATCCCATCCAGACCCACCCCTACCCCATTGCTGCATTTCCCACCCTCGATACTATGAGCAATTTAGCGTAGCCTCCCAGTTACTATTGTCTGCATATAGTATTATCTTCAAATAAACAATCCTGTTATTGTTTGGTCAATACAGGGTTGGTAACATCTGGGTTAAACAGAAGAATGCAATAAAGAATCTTCACTGTTAATTTCTAAATTATTTTCTCACCCATAAACCCGCTGTTACTTCCAGTGACTTTTGAAATGTTTCCAAAATGGGGGTAACCACCAACATACAGCTCTTCATTCAAATCCAGGCCTCGGAAATTTCCCTAAAGTGAAAGAATTAGACACTTTAATGGAAGGAACGCATAAAATATTGGCTCTTTATTCTTTTGGAACAATGCAGGCTGCTAGGCAATGTGATCACCCTGTTTTAACATATGGAAGAATACAACAAGGTAAATTGAAACAGACTGTTACCAGAGATTGAGGGACCAAGAATGAGGATTGAATGGAAGAACAGAGAGCAGGGTTAATGACTGAGGTAAAACAGTGTTGAAAACGATATTGGATAGATGGATGCAGGAATAGAGTTATAAATAATATAGGAACAGAGAAAATAAAATTGATCTGAACCAATTGCCTTTGTGGATGGTAAATGTTAATATGGATTGCTGGGGCTGAATGGCCTTTTGCAACTTTCCCTTACTTATGTCCTCTGAGTATTTCTAAGTCAAATTGAATTGCATTTTTCTGCGGGTTTTTATTGTGCAAAGGTCCAACTCTGGTTTACATTCTAGAGGCATTCAGTGTCAAGGTAAGAAATTTCAGATCCCACACAATGCAGTTAGATGCAAAGTAAATTCTCTCTCATCTGTCTTGATTGGTATGTACGATGATTTGGAGGTGTCGGTGTTGGAGTGGGGTGGACTAAGTTAGAAGTCACACGACTCCAGGTTTTACACCAACAGGTTTATTTGAAATCACAAGCTTTCAGAGTGTTGCTCCTACATCAGGTGAAGTGGAGGGAAGCGCACATGCACATAATTTATAGGCAGAGAGATTATTGCAAGATAATTCTAGGTAATTAAGAGTATCAAAAGATAGTACAAAGGGTGTGAATGGACTGTCAACAGGCTGAATAATGTGTCTTTGGAGATGATCAAAAGTGTCAAATAGTGTGAATGAAGAGAGCTCTGCCTTACTTAATTGGATCATAGCTCATCCCTTCATCTACTATTCAGCTATTGACACTTTACTCTAAACATTCCCAATTGGGGAGCAGCTGAAAATTTTGTTCCTGAATTGCATATAGTCCCTGATTTTCAATTTTGTTACTAGTCCAGAGACAGGAAAAGTGACACTGCAATGGATTTTCTAAGTCTTGAATTAATATCGTTGCATATACCTTTAAATTGCCATTAGTATAATTTCTGCTTAATTCATATTGTAATATAAGAGGGTAGCAAATAGTCTTGATAAAAGCAAACTATGGCAGATAGTACGGATCTGAAATAAAATCAGAACGCGCTGGAGAATCTCAGCAGGTCTGGCAACATCTGTGGACAGAGAAACAGAGTCATTGTTCCAAGTCCAAAAATCTAAAATGATATTTTATTGAAACTTGGGAGTTTGAAACAATAACTTTCTCTCACCACAGTATCTGCCAGATCCACTGAGTTTCTGCAGTACTTTGTGATATTATAGACTTGATAGGACTGCAGTAAACAGTACAATCAAAACGAGTACAGTTATGTTCCAATAACTTGCAAAATTGGTTCATAATACTTATGCCGGCACAATGCAAAGCAAATATAGGATGATGTGTTAAAAAAAGACAATTATTGGAAAAGGAAAATGTAAATGTCAAATTTAAGACTGTACATCAAACATTTATAACCAGGTATTTGTCATACGACTTACGTTACTGCTCATCTGAGTTCAAGGGGTCAGCCATGGGACAGTAATAATGGGCCTAGACATTGACTCAGATGTTTGCTAGTCAAATTCTGAACCCAGATTTGAGCACATAATCCAGGCACAGTATAATACTGAGGGGGAGCTGCACAGTCAGATGTGCTGTCTTAACAATCCAGATGTTAAGCTGATGCCCTTGAGTTCTCCTGATGCCCTTGTCAACTCCAATAACTCAATTAATAACTTAAAATCAGATTGCCTGGTCAATATTACATTGCTGTTCTGGAACTTTGCTGTGTGCAAATTGCTTGCCACTTGTTTTGCATTACAACAGCGACTACACTAATTCACTGCCACGGAAGGCTGTGGAGGCCAGGTAATTGAATATATTCAAGACGGAGATAGATAGGTTCTTGATTGTCAAGGGGATCAAGGGTTACGGGAGAAAGCGGGAGAATGGGATTGAGAAACTTATCGGCCATGATTGGATGGCAGAGCAGACTCAATGGGCTGCATGGCCTAATTTCTGCTCCTATGTCTTATGGTCTACTTTTGAAGGATTTGGGATTTCCTGAGGTTATGCAAAGTATTATATAAATACTTCTTTTCTAGGGAGGAAAGGGAGAATGCATTTATGTACAACCTAAACACATCTCAGAATATCCAGAAGTTACATCACATGCAAATTGCTTATTTTTCAGATACTGTCACTCTTTTCATGCAGGTAATGCACAGAAAATGACCAGTTAGTCTGTATTCAGTGGTGCTATTTGAGGGATAGGAACTGTGTAAAACACCAGGAAAACAGTTATTCTTTGAATAAGGACAGAGGAGTACAGTATATTGTCTGAAACATTGCTGCAATGCAGCACTTCCACACTTGCTCTGAAATGTCATTTTAGATTTTATCTTAAACCCCACCTTCTGATTCAAGAAAGGAGCTGAAACAATATAATGTGGCAGTTTTAAAGAGTTTCAAATGCTCAACAGGCAGCACAAATATCTACAACACTATGTGGATCAACACTACACACGTAAACCTCTTCAATACTGCTAGCACTAATAAAGTCAACCTTACCTGAGAACTCCCATTGACAGGAGGATCGTTGTCTACAAACAGAGAGCCATGAGTCAAGTTCCGATATAACACTACATTGTGGTACTCTCCCAGAGAAATGGGGTTAGGGTGACGGATTGTTGCCATGCCAGAACCTACATCGAACCTTTGGGAAGAAGCACATATAGTTGTGAGATGTATCAGAAAAGTGCATCAAATATAATGAACCGTAAATGTAAACGGATGCAAAAGTTAAATGAAATGATTAAAGAAGTACTTTACAAGACTCTTAAGTTAATTCAGCATTGCTATATGTAGCTGATTACTCATTTACTTTGTTGCTTTCCTTCAACTTTATTATGTAACTGGAAGGCACAATCATACAAGAATGTTTGTGTATGAATATTTTTGAGTTTTTCTTTACATTGGAGGTAGTAAGGCAGCCATTCTTGTCAATCTGGTCACAACATTTTCAACATCTCATATTCTGGATTTACAAAACTTAACCAAAGCACAATCATTACCTGAATTCAGGGCGGCCTCCGACTAGTGAGAATGAGATGAAATCTGCTCCTGTTGTCTGTTTCTGGCCATTGTAAATAATCATACCTGAAAGACCGAGAATGATTGTGGTGAAGAGTAACGATGCTAGTGGAATTGTGCCACCAGACAGGTACAACAGATGTTAATGACTTTATTTTTCGCATTTTGAGAGCGCTTTAAAATTGCAGGGATATGATGGAACGAGAAACGAGAGAGCAGATTGCACCACCCAGCTGTGACACATGTTCACCCCCCGACATCTTACTTAGTTCTTGTTTACAGCCATGTTCCTGTAGAATAGAGCAAAAGGGAGACAGGCAACTGAAGGGAGATGTGTTGCCATGTTATGTTTGTACACTTTTTATAATTTACTTCAGTATCTTGGATCTTGTCTCATATAGTGCTAAAATACTTTGCGCAGTTTGGTCTACAGTTCTAAGGAAGGATAATACTTATCTTGGAAAGGGTACAGCAGAAGTACACTGGATTGGTTTCTGGAATTGTCCTATGATGAGAGGCTGCATAAATTTGGCTCATGTATCTGGAGTTTCTAAGCATAAGAAATGATCTCATTTAAACATAAGAAGATTTAATGGGGCTTGATGGATTGGACACTGTGTGGTCATATCGTCTGATTTAGGAATCTAGACCATGGGGAGACAGTGTCAGAACCAGGACTGAGTTGAGGAGAACCTTCCTCACTCGAAAGGTTTTGAGTTTCTCTGCTCCAGAGGGCTGTGTGTGTTCTATCATTGAATATATCTAAGGCCAAACCAAACAGACTTTTAGTCTCTCCCGGAATTGAGGGATTTGAAGAGGGCACAGGAAAGAGTTGAAGACTAAGATCAGCCATGATTGCACTGCATGCTTGAGGGGCCAATTGGTCTACTGCTGCTCATACTTCTCTCACATTTCTAAAAGCTCAAGAAAGATGCTATCCATGCTTTGGCCTGAAAGCAGGGCTCAGCTAAAGAACGGCAGAAAATAGGGTGTCAATAGGGGTAAGGGGAGGAGAAGAGAATACTGGAGAAGTTTCCTGGCGATACACTGCCTGAAAGCAGGGCTCAGCTAAAGAACGGCAGAAAATAGGGTGTCAATAGGGGTAAGGGGAGGAGAAGAGAATACTGGAGAAGTTTCCTGGCGATACACTGAAGCCCATCACAGCAAAAGAATGGTTCAATTCAGTTTGAACCAGTGGGACTAAAGTACCTAATGGCCTTCAATAATGAACTTTTTTACTTTCAGTAAAATGGCTTGATGAAATAAACCTTATAATATGATTTCAGCTGCTCAGTGAGAAAGAAATGCAGTGCTCAGTATTTTAGAAAGAAAATCCTCTTTCCATAGAACCATACAACTAAGTTTGTCAATCCAATAAAGTATAAAAACAGATATACCTTTTCAGAAATATGGCTGGAATTAAAAATAAAATACGAAAATAAGTCTTGTGTCCCAAGACATTCCAGATACCAGAATGCCAGGTAATGGGTTTAGAAATATTATCACTCACTTTTGTGTAGAACAGCCAAATCTGTAGCAAATTCAAATCAATCCTCAAATGTTTTTATATCCACATCAAAATCACACCATCTAGTTATGGTTCAAACTAGAACTTCAAATACACAGTATTAAGTTTTGAAAATAAAAAGGATGCTTCTGCCTGAATTAATAAATTCACTGAATATGATCTACCTCTTCTCCAACTTTGTACAACCATAACCTACTTAACCCATGAGCAATTCAATTTAGGAAATAAAACAGGATTCAGGTCACCCAAGAAAGTTGCATTAAGTAATTACATATCAAAATGCACTTTCTTCCAGTATTTGGTAACATTACACATTTAACACACTGGAAGAAATGAAAGATTATCCAACTTCTTGTTCTCTTATTTAACTTACACATTCAAACACCCGTATGACAATATCATTTCTCTATACAATTTAAAAGCAAGCCCGCTTTGAAAACAGCGATGACAAAATACTACACATTAGCCTGAGATGTTAATACAATGCATTGTAGAAGCATGCAGATTACTCTGTGTTGCTTTCTTGCAGGTAAGCAGCAAGGGAAGCCTTTCTCATCATCAACCCAACAAACAGTCTCAGCATTAAAATTCTAGAATGGGGAGATGGTGCATAGAAATAATGTCACTGGACTAGCAATCCAGCATATTAAGCCAATACTAATACGAATACCGTGGTATTTCAGCAAGAAAGTGATGCTACATCTCGAAAAAGCATTGGTCAGATCACATCTGGAATACCCAGTTCTGAACACCTTATTTACGGAAAGACATTAAAGTCCTGGACAGAGTGAAAAGGAGACTTACTAGAATGATACCAGGAATGAGGCATTTTACATACAAAGAAAGATTAGAGAGATTGGCCTTTTTCTCCTTGCACCAGAGAAGAGGTGACCTTACTGATATGTTCAAAATTATGAACAATTTTGACAGGGGAAGGAAGGATATTCTGTTTCCATTAGTTGGTATGTCAGTACCTAGGGGTCACAATTTCAAAATTGTCTGCAAGAGAGCTAGGAACGAGATGAAGAGAAACTTCTTTACTCAGAGAGTTGTTAGGATTAGGAATGCACTGCCTGGGGGAGTGGTGGTGGTGGTGGATTCCATAGAAGGTTTCAAAAGAGAGCTGATTATGTATTTGAAAGGGATGAATTTAGAGGGCTGCGGATATAGAGCTGGAGAATGGGACTGGCTGGGTGCTGGTTTTGGGAGCTGGTACAGGCATGATGGGTTGAATGGCCTCCTTCTGTGCCATAAAATTGTATGATTCTATGTTCTGGGAATGTAGGCTCGAATCCTACCATAGCAGGTGGTAAAATGGGAATTCAATGAAATCTGGTACAGAGAGCTGGCCTAATCGCTTTCAATTATAGTATTGCTGTTTAATATCTCATTGTAATTGTGGCAGTGTTAACGAGAATGCACTAGTAATCTAGAAACGTAGGCTAACGCTTTAGGGACATGGGTTCAAATCCCACCATGACAGTTGGTGGAATTTTAATTCCGTTAATAAGTTGAGACTATAAAGTTAGCATCATTGACAATGGCTATTAAACTGTCATCATTTGTTGTAAAAACACATTTGGTTCATTCATGTCCTTCAGAGAAGGAAATCTGTCATTTTATCTGGTCTGGCCTACATGAGACTCCAGGCCCACAGCAATGCAGTTGATCTCAACTGGTCTGAGGCAATTAGGGGAGGGCTATAAATGCTGACCTTGCCAATGGTGCCTACATCCTACAAACTAATAAAAAAAAAATTAGAATAAGCAGCAATTACACATTTCCTGTTAATTAAGCACTGACAGTACTTAGTTAAAACATTCCAGGTTCCAGATTGCACCTTAGGGTTCGATTCACCTAAAGTTTGGCTTCAAAATTAAACACCTGGCAAGGCTGCCAAGTAGCCCTGATTCAAGTTACACATAACAAGAAATCAAACATATTGATTCAGCAATGAAGCTCTGGACTGGTATAATATTTTGAAGCCCACAAGGTACTGGTAACTGGAATCTGAGAATAACAAAAAGCAAAATGACAAAAAGGGAATGAGTAACAAAGAAAAGAGTAACAAAAACAGGAGGAACTTATTGCTCTTGCATAATGTCAGGCACTGCAGTTGTTCTGAAGTCTGCAACCAAAACATTTTGTTTAATTTGGACCTTTGCTACATTTTGGCACCACATCCAAACATCTACTTCCTTAACCATTGGCAGCAGCGTGTCCTATCTTAAAAAAATGCATTGCAGAAATTCACCACAGTTCCTCATCCAGCACATTCCAAACCTCCAATCACTACCATCCAGAAGGACAAGGACAGCAGATACATGGGAACACCACCACCTGCAAGTCCCCTCCAAGGCAGTCACCATTTTGACTTAGAAATATATTGCCGTTCCTTCATTGTCACTGGGTCAAAATCCTGGAGTTATCTCCCTAAGGGCATTATGGGTCAACCCACACCAATTGGTTCAAGACGATGGGTCATCATTTCCTTCTCGGGGGCAACAGTAGACAGGCCCTTCCAGCAACGCACACATTCCATGAGAGAATACATTTTTAAAAAAATGTCCAAATAAATCAAAAATACAGCGGTGAGAGACCTCGGAATTGCTGACATGATGCTCCTCTTTTTGTGACTCGTGAATCAAAAGTGACCATCTGCTTCAGTCAGTCGAAAGGGTGAGAGGATCAGAAGTTTCTACTGGTCATTGAAAGTAATGACTTATGATCAACCTCTGGAACATAGGAATCGGAGTCGGCCATACAGCCATTTGAATGTTGATACAGTCCTTGGCTCATTTGCTTCAATCTTCTACGGGTCCTAACCCCGGATTGTTTTAGCTGAATTACCAGAAAACAGTCAGAAAGATTTACGATTATTATTTATATAGCCTGGATAATGGTTAGGAAATAAGCAGTGGAGAAGGATGCTCCAAACAAAGCTCGTCTGCTCTGTCCATTCCTTTTCTTTTTTCTCTTTTCTTCTCTCGTGTTTTTTTCTCCCCGCCTTCTGTCTTTTCCTCTTTAGCCAGCAGCCCAGACCAATGCAGGAATGGCCAGCGGCCTGGAGCAGAGTGGGGGCAGCCAGTGGGCCTGGAGCAAAGATGGCTACTGGTTGGGAATTGGTGGCATCTGGTCAGACCACATAGAAGCCATTATAGAAAAACTATAATGTCCATCTTTTCAGCTTTATTTCTTAGTTTCCTAACGTATGCTATGTATATCGTGTATACTCGTGTAAAAGTTGAATTTTTTTAGACTTTGTTTTAAGGTTAAGTTCAGGGAGTCAACTATTACATACTACTTTTGAGAGGCTGAAATTCATGCTATAGTCCAAAATACTGTATCTTTAGCAGAAGCCCAATTGATGTCTAAACGAATACAGGAAAAAAATTAATTATAGTAACTACTGGATAAAGACAATAGAAATAAAAATGAATTAGTGAGCTTTTACTTATACGCCCAAAAAGTGAAGTAGAAATATAATACGGCTTTAAATTACAATTACATGGTACATCTTAAATTAAACAAACTAAAA